ATTGTGAGGCCCGTCCAGACTGTGATCTCACTGTGGACTGTGCTTTCTAAATGTTCCCCTGTCCAGTCAAGACAACCCTCGCTAGTCAAGTGTGGTCATGTGACCAGGGTCCTTCCCTTGGGTCTGCCCATTCTAGGGGCAGAGCCAGGGGATGGATGTCTGCGAAGGGGGCAGCAAGGGGGCCTCTAGGGACAGGAGCACCCCAGCTTCCCCAGCAGTCCCCTTTTTAGCCTGGGTGTCTTTGCCTTTCTGGGGCCCCTGGCGCCCCAAGCTCTGAGCACCTCTCCCCAGGGGTGGAAACAGGTGTGCCCGGGGCTCCCCAGGTGCTCCGGGAACATTTGTGGAAGGCAGGAGGCAAAGTCCGCCCCGATGAGCATGTTGGTTTTGCCAAGTTGGCAAAATGAGGTCGGTCCGTCAGAGCCCTTGGTGCCGAGTGACGCATCTTCTGGAATGATGAAGTTTCGGGTGGTTTGGATGGTGTGTTCCTTCACATTTCTGCCCCCTCGTCAGACCCTCTTGGCGAAGATCTACCCTCCAGCTCAGCTGATCTTGTGGCCCCTACCCGGTGAATCCTACTCCGCCAGGCCAGGCAGGCTCCCAGGGGCCGGCAGGGCCGCGAGGCGGGGAGCTGAGACACCAGCAGAGTGTGCGATGCCTCCGTCCAGGGGTGGGGGGTGGCCGGCTAAGCTCCTTGTCCTTGAAGTACAAGCCAGGGACAGCTCTGGTGGCAGTGAAGTATCTCCTTTAAAGAAACAGATTATTTTGTCTGTTTGCCTGTAGTGATTGGTGGTCCTGATGAAAGCTAGCCTTTGTTGGACACGACTGCGTTCGGTCAGCTGGCACAGGCTGGGTCACTTAACCAACGAGAGGCGGGTGCCGCTGCCACCCCGTCGTGGGTGAGGAGATGAGGCATGGCAGGCTCAGGAACCGGGCCGAGCTCACACCACAGGCAGGAAGAGGTGGAACCCACCAGAGCCCGTGCCGTGGCGGCTCACTTGACCTCTCAGCCTTGAGCCTCACTCAGCAGGGAGGACGGGCCGCTCGTCTGGGGAGGGCCGTGGGACGAGGTGGGTGACATCCAGAGTGCTGGGGCAGGAGGAGGGCAGCGGGGGGAGAATGCCCTCAGCGCCCCGGGCAGCCCCTTGGCACCTCTACTGAACGGTAGCAAGGCCCCTTAAAGGTCTCCTTGCTGCCACCTTGCCTTTACCCGTTGCCCTGTCAGAGCGTAAGGCAGATCTTGTCGCACAGAACTCCATTTCCCATCTTACTCGGAATAAAGCCAGAGCCCTGTCTGTGCCCCAGCGAGGCGCCCTGTGATCCAGCTCTGACCTTGTATCGCCCTCCTGCCCTCCGCCTCGCCTGCTCTGCTCCAGACTGGTCCATCTTCCTCATGCGCCCCTGCCTCAGGACCTTTGCACTTACTCCCCGACCTGGAATATTCTCCCTCCAGCACCTTCCTGGCCCACTCTCTCACTCTCTTCACTCTTACAAGCAGAGTCCAGGCGGAGACCCAATGGTAGCATGTCACTGGGAGGTGCAGTCCCGGGGCAGCAAGAGTGAGGGGAAAGGGAAGCAGAGAAGGCTCAGATGAGGCCCCGCTGAGAGCACATCCCGCTGAGACGGTGCCCCTCCGAGACGACGCCCTGCTTCACAGATGCCCAGCTGGTCTCTCAGCCCACTGGGGCCTTGTCACAAAGGCTATCCAAAAAAAGGAGGAGAAGGAGAAGAAAGGAAAGCTTCGGAACTCCGTCCAAGGGAGGGGTGCAGGGGTGCTTCCCTGCTCTCCGGTCCTCTCCCCCATCCTCCATGGCCAGAGTTCACGTCCCTCGGGCCCGTTTGGTCCACCAGGCCCTCTGGCGGCAGCTGGGGAGGAGCAGCGGCCACAGGCCTGAGGGAGAGCGAGGCCGAGGGGCCGTGAATCGGCACCACCCGGGGTGGCGGGGCTCAAGGACAAGGTCAGACGTTGCCGACGCACGAGCCCTGCCCGGCGGCCCGCCCGGCCTCTCCCACACAGCAGCCCGTAGTCTCCTGCTCTGCCGCTTCTCTGCAGCACTTAGCAGTTCGTCCACTACGTATGCCGTTCCCTTGCTGATGATCTTCTCCCCGTTGGAACATAAGCTCCACGGGGACAGGAAAGACACCTGTCCCCATCCCTGACCTACTCCAGCCCGAAGCGCCACGTGCCTTAGGAGCGCATGAATCAACGGAAGGCAGCGTCCAGCCCCGCCTGAGTGCCGTCCGTCGCTTTGTTGTTATTTCTTGTCCTGTGAGGTGTTCCTTTGTGTCTTAGAATCTTCCTACATCAGTGGGTCTTGTCTTCCTCTTTTCAGGAGGTGCATAGTATCCCCTAGCACAGCTGTCCCAGGCCTCATGCCTTTAGCAATTTGTGCGGGGCCCTGGGGTGACAGCAGGGAACGACTCAAAGCTGTAGCACACCAGGGCGGAGGGGGAGTCTGGCAGCAGGCAGCATCAGCACCATGGAGGAGAGGAAGCCAGGCCGGGGATGTGGAACAGGTGAGGAAGTCAGTGCTGTTTGTGCAGGGTGGACAGGCTGTCTGCAGGATGGAGCCTGCGGGCACCAGGGAGCAGCACGTGCAAAGGTCCTGAGGTCGGAGCTCAGTGTCAGGGCTGAGGAGGCAGCCAGGGAGGCGTTGCAAAACTATGGACCGTCATGCAGACCGAGGCTGTGCTCTGAGCCGGGGGAGTGGGGAGGTCACTCACTACTGCGTGGACAGGTGAGGCACACGCTCAGATTGAAGTCGAGGCTGGCACTGGCCGGGGTGCTCATGGTGGACCAGGTGCCCGAGATGACCTTTGGTGGTTTGTGCCTCTCCAAACACCACACTCGGGTCTTCGTGCAGGTGTGTAGACCCTCCCATGGAGCGGAGGGGCTCCTAGCAGTGGGAAGGGGTGCAGATTATAAATGTTGCTGAACATGCCCAGAGTCCCCTCCAGAAAGACTGAGTTAGTGACCACAATGCACAGAAGTCCTCCGCCTTGTGGACACTGGATGTCGTCAGTCCCATTAATTTCTGGTAACCTCATCCTTTGCCTTTTCCTCGTGACCACTGAGGTCGAGCATCTCTCCAGCTTTCTAGATCTTTGGTGTTTCTCTTGGTGGGAATACCTGTTCTCAGTCTCTGGTCTCTCTCTCTCTCTCCCAAAGTTAACACCTTTCATTCTGTCACCGGATCAGCCAGAACTTGCCTGAAATGTTAAAAACAAACAAGCGAATCGGCAACACAAAGGCTGAGTAGTAGGCTTGTTGTTTTGTTCCTGACTTTGCTCGGGTATTGTGGGTTCTCTAATCCAGGACCCCGCTGGCCTGCTGCTGAGGCCATAATGAGCAGGTATGCTGGGCGGAGATCTCCCCCCTTTGACCACAGCCGCCTCCTCTCTGAGCTGCATGCGGACTGTGTCTTCCACCCAAGACTCACATGACTTTCTATCCTTTGTAGGTAATCTACTTGTTTCTCCTGTTTGGATGCGGGTAGATTCTTCCCCCCCCCCCCCCCCCCCCCCCCCCGGAAACATCGTTTGTCATTGGGACGTCGCTGGCTCCGACCCGTCTCTAACTTTGCCTGGTATTCAGGGAGTCCTTCAACCAGCAGGTGGGAATCCGTCTTCACCCACGTTGGCTTTCTTGGGGTGTATCTTTCGTTTTAATCTCTGTTTTAAGGTGCGGTGTCTCTTTCAGGAAGAGATATTACCACAGGTGAAAACACGAGGCTCCGATAGCATCGCCCTTTCTCTTGCCGCTTTTCAAAGTTCCTCGCGCTCACCTCCCCATCGCTGAGGCCATCTTGTCCGTTAGGGACTCTGGACTCAGTCTCTCTGGTGTTCTGTTCTAAGGTGGCATTTTCTTCTCATTCTGTGGCTTCGGCTCATCCCTCATTACTTGTTTCCTTGAACCCACCGTTTCTTGATTTTTATTTATGATACGGAGTAGGGGCCGTCCTAACTCTGCTGGTCTCCCCCACGCCGTGTGGCTTCTGTTCATCTGGTCTTTGTTGCACATCTTTTTAGAAGCCGCACGCTGGCTTTTGCCCATCTGTTGGTTCATGTGCAAGACGAGGTCTAATCACACCTGCTGTTTTCCGGAGAGTAATGTGGTTGGATTCCCCGTGGGTGCCCGTCTTCAGGAGCAGGTGGACACGGGATCCAGCCCTGTCACCTGCCATGCGTGGCCTTGAGTGGGTCACTGGCCTGTTTTCTCTTCTGTAGACTGATACCAGGAATGGTATCCTATGTGGTGTCCGATGATGAGTGATCACGAGGGTTACGTGAAACACTGTGTCCATAGCCTCTGCCATCAACCGGGTGTCTGCTCTGTTTCTCTGAGCACACGGAAGCCGTGGGGACACATTCTGTCCCCGGGGACTCCGCTCAGTCAGGGCACTTCGGCTGGGCCCGCTGGATCTTCCCTCCCCGCTCAGTGCCCAAGGGCTGGCCTTCCAGGCCTGTGCCAGCAGGGTCCCCTCGCTTTCTGGCTCTCTGACCGCTGAGGGCAGGAGGAGAGAGGAGCCAGGGGTCTATGCCCCCAGCTCTGTTCCCCCAAATTGCAGGTCGTCTCGGTTCTTTGGTTTCATAACCCTCCTTCCTCCTGCCCCTCCGGCCGGGGCTGGGGGCGGCAGGGGTGTGTGTGTGTGTGTGTGTGTGTGTGTGTGTGTGTGTGTGGAATAGCAGCTGCCCCTCCCCCACCTGCCTAGCTTTTCTTTCCCGAGAGACCCTGAGGGAGACACCATCCTGGGTCATCCTTTCCCAGGGACACCTCTCTGCCCATCCCTAGGCTTCCGGTCAGGCCCCTCCCCCCTTGCATACTCACCGTCAGCTCATTCTCATGGTTGTGTTCCAGGATTGTTGCAGAAACCTTAGGGCTGGCCTGGCTCTAACCTCAGCCCCCTCCATCCTCCCGCCCCTAATGCGCCGAAGTTTCCGCATAGTACGGTGGTGAGGACCTGTCCGAACGCAACAGAGTTCACTCGTCTGCTACGTCTGCTACTTCGAATCCTTCAGTGGCCTCACGCTGGTCCCTCTCCCTCCACATCCCATGTGCATTCACCCCTGTGCCGCTATCCAGGCTCCCGCCCACCCTGCCCTCCTCACAGGGCAGCGCCTGCCCCACGGCCTTCTCTCTCCCGGAGGGTCTCCCCCGCCCACAGCCTGGGCTCGGGGTCTCCTGCAGCTTGTGATGCAAAGACTTCTGAGCCCTCCTGCTCTCCCAACGTCACCTGGGGAGACTTGTAAAATGCAGGTTCCTAGGCCCCACCAGCCATCCGGTGGGAATCCGTGTTTTTGCCAAAGCTCCCCACGTGCCGGGCGGTGGTCATTGATGCTCTTGTCGCCTCCTGACCAGGCCGTCGGCAATTAGAGACGTCTGGGGGCTGCGGCCACGCGATTCATCCGCTTCCTAATTCAGGGCAGGTAGGAGCTCAGTGAACAAGAACAAAGATTGCCCACGGTTGACTCTGACCGCGCCCGGCTTACTTAGCGGACCGTGGAGACAGATCCCAGTGAGGCGCCCCACGCGGCGGCTGCGGTGACTGAGCTCTTCGAGGCCTGATGACATTTCTCTCTTTTCCCAGCTTCACTGTGGAGCCAACATGAACACATACGCAGAATACCCCCCCAGCCCCCCGGCCCAGGAGCCCGTGGAGCCCCCCCGGCCCCACGAAGCCCCCCTCCAGGAAGACGTCGACATGAGCAGCGGCTCCAGCGGAAATGAAACCAACGAAAACTGCCCCTCGGGGCGGGGCTCGCGGGGCAGCAAGGAGCTGGGGGCGCTGGTCCGGCCGCCTGTCGCCCCCCCGGGGTAGGTGGGACCCTCGGCCCACCGAGGCCGGGCTGGGTGTCTGTTTTCTCTGTATCTCATCCTGTTGGATCGCTTTTGTGATCTTTAAATCACGATGGCCCGGTTTTTCAACATTAAAAAGAGAAATCTCGTTAACCCAGAATAACTAAAATGTACTATGGCGATGCGACTGTTGGTGTCGAGTATCTGGTTGCGAGTAGACAACCGCTAACGAGAGTGGTGAGGTCTTGGGGGCCGAGGACTCGGGAGCCCTGCGAGCGGCCGGGCGGCCTCCAGAAAATGAACTTGCTCCCTCAGTCCTTCTCGGGACACTTAGTTTTCCTGCTATCTGAAGGTTTTATGCTCCCGCTTTCCCTTTCCCTCGTGTTTTTCCTCAGTTGCCTTGCTCTGGTATAATCTCGATCGCTGTCTCTGGTGGGATGGGGGAAGAAGTGGGTGGAGCATGCAGCCCTCTGAGTCTGGCCTCACCTCTCACTCGTGTTTACAGTCCAGATGCCTTTGGCCTCCTGATGTCGAAGTCTGAACACAGCACGACGACAAGCGGCTGCAGGTGAGGCCGGTTAGAACCCCCTTGCTTTCGGGTCTTTAGAGACATGGAGATTTGTTACTGGAGGTTACGTCCCCCTGGAACATTCCGCGCCCACGTTAGGTGTTTGTGACACAGGCATCCTTAACTTCATATCCACAGACATTTTCGTACGACCGCTGGAGCAGACGCCGGCTCTTAAGCCCGGGTGTGTGGGCACCTGGCCACCTCGCCCTAGAATGAGACCTGGTTTCTAACCTTCTTCCTGCAGCACCCTCTGCTCTTACCAGGAGGTGCCCACCTGTTCTCTCTCTGTATCCTTAAGTGTAGATGTCCTTCTTAGAACTTTCCTCTCTGAGGACTTCTCGTGTTCCTCATTCACATTCCTGCCCCCCCGGGAAACCAGTTTGCTGTGCTCTGTAATGTCCATCACCCGATGCTTTTCTGTCTGACACGGGTCAGGCAGGCAGGGCTCCCGAGGGGTAGCCTGCTCAGCCAGACTGCGGGTTGACAAGCAGGCCATGCTGGGCAAAGCCCGGCTCTAGCCACGGGGGAAGGAAGCCCAGGTGAAGGGGCTCGTGCCGCACTCACTTGGGTCAGAGCAGTGGTCCCCAGCCGGGGCGTCTCGTCCCCCTGCAGGAGATGTGTAGCAGGGTCGGGAGACAGCTCCGGTTGTCACAAGTGGCGAGGCGATTCTGGCCTCTGCTGCTGAGGCCAGGGATACTGCGATGCCTCCCACAGTGCGCCCAGAGAACCACGCAGACCGAAATGTCCTGGGGGCCTGGTGCAGAAATGGGACTAGAGGCACAGGAAGGAGGAGTCAGGAAGCCAACGTGTGATGGCTTTCTTTAATGCCACAGCAGCGAGCAGTCTGCCAAAGCAGACACGCACAAGGAGCTGATAAAAACCCTGAGGGAGCTGAGGGTCCACCTCCCTGGAGACAAGAAGGCCAGAGGGAAAGCCAGCACGCTGGCGACCTTGAAGTATGCGCTGAGGAGCGTGAAGCAGGTGAAAGGTAGGTCCGGCCGCGTCTTTGATCCAAACTCGTAGAAATCCGTGGGGTGGTGTCGACTTTCTAAAACCCAGTCCTGAAACTGCAGAAGGAAATTGTGGAAGTCTGGGAAAAGGCAATGATGGGAAACCTTAATTCTCTGGAAGTTTTCTATTGTACTTGGCGTTTAGAGAGAAAAAAAAGAAAAACAGAAAAGCAGTTGATATAAGATGTATATTTACAGCGTTAACGCTTCTGCGCTCTGGGCTGGGGTCAGGTCGTGCTCAAAAGAGCACAGCTTCCTCCAGGCTCAGGTGGGAGCTGGTGGCCCTACTGTGTGAGCAGCTCGGAGCACGGATGTGAGTTGAACTGAGGGCCAGTGGCTCCTTTGAAAAATAACAAGAGATGCTCCTCTCCTCAGTTGGTTAAGCGTCCTACTCTTGATTTCAGCTCAGGTCATGAGCTCACAATTCGTGAGATCGAGCCCCATGTCAGGCTCTGTGCTGACAGTGTGGAGCCTGCTTGGGATTTTTCTCTCTCCCTCTCTCTGTCCCTCCCCAGTACATTCTCTCCCTCTCTCTCTCTCTCTCAAAAATAAATAAACTTAAAAAAAAAAAGAGAGAGAGAGATACGAGGGAGGCTTTTGCCAGATCTCACTCTCACAGGACAGTATTTTCGGGTCCCTGCTTTAGACCTTCTTGTTTGTGTAAAAATCTCCAGGTGAGTCTCCGTGTGTTTGTGTCTTTTCACCCAGGAAGCCAAGCAGGGAGCCTCCTTCCATCACAGGCCCCGCCCAGACTCCACTCCCGCTTGGGGGCATGTTTGGATCTGACTCTCAGGTGGCAGATTATGTAAGAGCCCTTAGGGCTGCCCGTGGTCTAGACTAAGGCTTCCACCCGAGGGTACCTGTGCCCAAGTCCTCATAGATGCAGTGCGGGAATCTGAACAAACACTGCAGTTTCCAAAACCTCTGCATCATCCAGCTCAGACACTTGACATTTCAATAAACTCCAAGCTCCTTAAGTAACTGCCGACAGAGTGGGGACTTCCTTCACTCACTGCGGCTGGACTTTGCACTGAGCAGGTACCCCGCCCCCATCTCCTGGGACTCAGGCAACCGCAGGTGCCTCTGTCTCCGGGACGGGTAAGGGGCACACTGCCCTAAGGACACACACACGCGCGCACCAGCTTTTCTAGAGAAGCAGGAACTTGACTGCTGGGTGAGCCCTTCTGCAGACATCTGTCCCGAGGAGATTGGGCTGTGACCCCTCTGTTTGGGTCACCTCGGGATGCTTTAGCTACGGGACAGTCAGAAAGGTTCGTGCAGCCTCGCCTTTTGGTCTGTTGCTGGGAATGGGGATATGAGCTTTGAGAGTTTTTTTAAATTTCCTGCAGTGCTTGAGAGAGAACAGCAGAAAGCTTGGGGGAAGTATCCCTGATCTTTGAGCAGTGAACCCTCAGGCGAACCTTTCCATTTTGCTGGGAACCCCCTACTCCTGCACTTTGAGGAATCTCTCAGCTGTTTTGGTCCCTTATGAGCAGGAAGCAGAGACAGAAGAAAGGCCAGCATCTCGTTAGAGCGGACAAGAGGGTACATGTCCCTCTACCAGGGACCCCCAGCCCCGCTCTACCCACTTGACCTTCGTGTACCCGTCACAGGCACGCGGAGGGCCCAGTGGACCCTGCACAGTGAAAATGTGGGTAAGAAGAGAAAAACCCGGGAGGCTGAGATAAAGACTCAAACAATGGCTTTGTTCTGTTATCCTCAGTTACTCCCTCCAGGCAGGGCTTACGCTCACGGCACGTTTGTCACTAACGGTGATGGATACGAAGCCATATTCCAAATCGTCTTCATATTTCCTGACGTTTGAACAACTCTTGTCAGAAGGGCGCCCTCGCTCGCCAGTGCAGTCTGGCAGAAAGGTCCGGTGCTGGGCATGGGGGGTCTGCAATGTGCGCTATCCACTGGCCTCCTGGGTGCCCTCGTCAGCCCCAGATCTCTCTGCAGGCTCCTGTCTAAACCTGTGTCTGTTTTTTGAGGGTTAATAGAGTAGAAACAGAAACCATGCTCTGCCAGCCCACCCAAGGGCGCTCACAGACTGCAGGGGTAGGGGCTTCTCTGAAGGGCGGGGCTGCGGCCTGGGTGGGGGGGGGGGGGCAGCACCATGATAGTTGCCCTTGAAAGCTGTATGTCCTGAGATGAGTGGATTCTGTCCGGATGGGAGCGCCAGGGCCACAAGGAACCACATACTGGGGCCACGGCCATCCTACAGAGAGACTCCCTTGTTGGGTCACGATTAAAGACCTTGTGGGCAAAGTGAGGGTTAGGGGGAACTCTCCACCCAGGTTACTTAAAATAATGTGTACTTACCATTTGACTTTTATTTTATTTTTTGTTATTTATCTTTTGAGCAACAGAGAGAGTGTAAGCAGGGGAGGGGCAGAGAGAGAGAGAGGGAGACACAGAATCCGAAGCAGGCTCCAGGCTCCGAGCCGTCAGCACAGAGCCCGACGCGGGGCTCGAACCCACGAGCCGTGAGACCGTGACCTGAGCCGATGTCGGCCGCTGCACCGACTGAGCCTCCCCGGCGCCCCGTGTACTCACCACGTTAGAAGTTCTGCAATCGCAGGTCTTCGGGGTTTTCAGGACAAATGAAAGATCTCTGTTTGCTTTGCCTTCACGTTTCTCTTTCTGTTCTCTCGGCGTCCGAGGAGGCTAGTGTGCGTAGCCCCCCTTTTCCGTGAGAACAGCCGCGTCCGGATGCGCAGAGGTGGGAGCCGTTTTCAGCCCCTTGGTCTCTCCCGCAGCCAGTGAGGAATACTACCAGCTGCTCTTGTCCGGCGAGAGCCAGGCCTGCGGCGCCAGCCTGCCCTGCTACACCGCGGAGGACATCGAGGGCGCCACTTCCGAGTTCATCGTGAAGAACGCGGTAAGCGCCCCCCTCGAGCGGAGTCTCCCCCCCCCCCCCCCC